TTTTTTTTAAAAATTTTATACTTAAAAATGGTTCTGAATTCAAAAATGAATTAAAAATTCTGCAAAAAATAATTTTTGTGGGACAAATTAAAAGTTATGCCATAATTTATTTTTAAATAAATTGTATGCAGTTTGTTTTATTAAGGATAAAAATCACAAAACGGTCAAAATGACCGCTACGGGCGTTCCAGTGTTAAGTGTGTTTCTCAAAAAAACTGAAGTTAAACAGAGGTCATGCAGTAAAAAACACTCAGCTTAACAAATTTAGATTACTCGGATAAAATTTCTTGAACAAAATCTTTCTAAAATTATTTTCTGTCTAATTATCGTGAGTCAGACTACGCAAAAAGTAAATAATAAAGCAGTACTAAAATTAATGGTGCTGTTTTTAAACATTTGTTTTTCATTAAAATTATAAATGTAATCAAGTTAAAGGCTTAATTAGTAATGGCATGAAGAAAAAGTTGAGATAGTCATATACACCAGTGTCTGTTCTACAAAATGCACTACTTATTTTTAAAAATAATCGTCTACAAAGGCTGGATGTCTGGCTATGAATGTAATCGGTCACTCTATATTATTTGGCGAAACAATAATATTTCAAGTGACAATATGATGTACTTCGGTTATTCACATACAGCAGTTACAAATTATAAATAATAAAGTGAAAACTCGAGGGTGATCGAGAGGTTCCTTAAGTTAAGATGCTTTCGAGAAACTCACTTAGTAAGTCAAATTTTTCACTAAAACAAAAGTTAAGTTTTTTTGAGAAACAGGCTGATGCACTGTGTGCCGCTGGTTTATCGGAATGTATCAAATTAGACAACGTAGCAGCTGTTAAAGGATAGAGAATAGCGCTTATATCTCAAAAAACTAAGTCTCAAAAATTTCCAGATCCCAGGTATATAAAAAGATAAATATCTATGTGCAACTCATTAAATACGTATCCTTCATCCGATTAGAGAGAGCATTTTGGCACCTCGGGCTTGCTTTCAATATAGAGAGCACTATAGAATTCAATTAAAATGATGAATTTTTCATATCTTTTACAGTTCTACGACACTAGAGTGTCTAACTTTCACAGGGCATACATGGGCTATGCACTATCCATTTATAACTTGCTTTATTTTAAGACAAAATAAGTATTAAAAAAGAATATAAATCGTTTTTCAAGACTATATTAACAGCAGCTATGCTTTAATCCGTTCACTTTTTTTTTAACTCCAACAATTCCGATAAAGTCATTTTCTAAACGGATATTTTTCATGAGTGGTGACCTGATGATTAGTCGACTCTGTGACTTTAGGTGACCTTAGAGCCTTAAAGGTAAGGACGTCCGACATATCTCTATTCGTCATGAACATTTTCCAAATTCGTCCTCGATCATTCGAATGAAAGAGGACATAATATTACACAAGAAGCATTACCTAATGTATGTTTCTGCTATACATCGTTTTCCATTTATAAGACTTTGTACGCCTGGGTTTGGATCAAGAGATGTAAATCCAACTGTTATATCCAATACACCCGTCACTAGAAGAAAAGTGATTATTAATGATGATATTTAATATAGTGTCAAATCTGTTCTCATTTTTTTATTTCTCATAGGAATTTAACATAAAAAACTCGTACGTCTAAGTGAGAATAAAAGATATCGTTTAAATTTAAATTATGTTTAACGAACCTTGTTTATTAATTCCTTGCAACAATAATGTTAAACCTTTTGTTCGTGGTAATATATGATATTTTAATTCTGGTAGATTTTTTTCTCGTGCAATTTTCATACTTTCTAAACGTTTTTCTTCTGTGAACCGCGTTCCCTCACAGGAACAGAATAACTGAAAACATCGTGCGTGTGTAATTAACAAACACGCAACTATATGTATAGTTATAAAAATAAACTTACTGTAAAAAAATAGTTTTTTGGATATTTGTCAACTAATTGCTGTATATCATGTAATAAAACATTTTTATCTGTTTGCCATGCTCGTTTTAAAAATATACTCTCCGTAAATACCCAACACCATCCCAAAATTGGCAAATAAATTAAACTTTTTTTACCTAGAATTTTTCATCGTACGTTGTGTTTTCATATTTTATAGTACAAAATCAAAAAATAGACTGTTCAATTACCCAATATTTTTGAACCCTAAAATAAAGAAACAAAAAAAGTTATTGGTAAATAAAAATGAAAATCTTAACTTTCCCCTGCATTTCCCAATCGTTCTGTAAACACCCATCCTAAAAGCCAATCAATCTCAAATCGATGATTTCCTAACCATATTGAATGTTCATTTTTAACTAATTCAAGATCTTTTGGATCAATGTAAAGAATGATGTCCGAATTGCTCCACCACTGAAATACGAATGTCAGTTCTAAAGAAAAAAGAAATAAATAGAAAAAGTTTAGTAATGATACAAAGTAATATTGAAAAATTTAATTAATAAAAAGTTTCAGTTCTTTCCTTAAGCCTTAAGAATTTTCGATCTAAATAATTCACATTTCACTATATTCATAAATTTATCTTTCCTACTTACGACTCCAAATAATTGTCGCTAGATAATAATTGATTATTCTGTATAATTCTTTAGAATAAGGCCAGATTAGACATGAACATAGTTGAAGAAAATTCACAATTAATCCACTGATGACGAATACATAACCAAGAAATAATTGTACAATAAACAATTGCTTTAATTTTCTAATGGACAACATCTATAATTCAAAACTGAGTTATTCTTTTTCTTTTATTAAATAGAAATGTATTTTTTTTTTCTTACGAACTAGTTGAGATTTATATGCGTGACGAACTGATCCTTTTCTCTTTCTCTCAAAATTGATCTTTTCATTTTTTTTTCTTATATTTCTCTTTTCTTTTCTTTTCTCTATGCCATATTCACACATTCATCGTCCGATAGTCTTTTCTAAAACAATTTTTACCTAGCTACAAACACATTGATACACTGTAAACAATTTAGTATACAATCCAGCAGATGAAAAAAGAATAAAACTTTCTTCAGAATTAATGTCAAACAAGAAAAAAAACAAAATCTTATATTTTAAAAGCATTCGGTATGAATGAATCATAGTCTATATACCAGACGAAAACATTGATCAATAGTTAAAAGGTTAAAGATTAATTCTTGTATAATTATTATAAATAGATTAATGTCATTCATGTATAGGTTAAAATAAGTAAAAAATATTTAAACTGATTTCGATTATAAAACTATTTAATTTGAAAAAATTGTTGTGTAAGACTTATGTTTTATAGTAAAATATTCGTATATAATATCGAATTTAATCATCAATTAGGCTATTCTATTGAGAATCACTGGCCCATAACAATCCACTACATTTAATCAAAGAACAGCTGGAGTTTTTTTGTTGGAGTACTGTAAAATAATTCCGACTAGTGTTTGAAATTTTTTGGTATTTTTGATACCATAAAGCTATTTCAGAACAGAAAAAACTGCTATTGTACAGGCAAATAGACATGAGTCGCAGCTATCTATTGGCGTAAAAATCTTATTAAAATTCATTAAAGTTAATTAGTTTGATGAATTTTCCAGCGCCACACAGTGGGCATCCATGCGGACATTTGACAAAAAACCGAAAGTACGCCTTTTCATAATTCAAACAGTATCGAGTATACTTAGATAGATCGTCTGTTAAATGGCTCAAAAATTTTTGTTCCAAGTAGGGAACTTTCGGAGATAATGTATATGGAAGAAATAGACCAAACATCAGAGATATCTGAGAAAAAAATCGATTTTTTTATTAAACTATGTTAATTTAAAGATTTGAAATGGATGTATTCGGAATCCGGACACTCTCAGCTATATGTTGGTAAAAATGTATCTCGATTTGCATCTAAAAGTGAAGAAAAAAAACAAAGTTTATCGCATGCTGAGAACAGGTGTTATGATTGCAATGAGGTATCTACCTACATTCACCCCCGTAGATAGCTCAAAAGTAATTCAAAACGTTCGCCAACATCTACTGCATCTAATGTGAATGCATATTAATGCACATATTTACCAAAGCTGAGTTATGGGTTTTCTAAAAACCCATAACAACCTTTGCCTCTTGAGCTATTTTGAGGTTTTCTCAGGACAGAAACTCTTGTATTAAAAAATAAGATAATATTTGAAATCAGCGTGAAAAACTACATCGAGTGATGTATCACTTATTAGTTGTACAAATAAAAAATTGTTTGACAAAAGTTCAGAGCAAGGATTTTTCATCGAAAAAACATTTTTCTTCGAACTTGACTTTTCTTACTTCTGTTAAAATTTGACACAATAGGCAATATTAGGCGAAAATAATCATTTTTTAATCATAAAACCAGATGTTCGCCTGCTCTATGGAAAAATGCCCACTGTGCGCCATGTCAACGGTTGATCGAAGTTACCGAACAACGCTGCCAAAACGCTAGGCGCAGAGTAAAACAACTTTTTCTCAACGGTCAACATTCATTAAAAATTAGCTCACCTTGTAGAGGATTTTGAGTATTTTTCCAAACCATGTATTTGGCAAGTTGAGGTCACCATTCCTTAATTAATTAATAGAAAGTTACATAAAAAAGAAAATGATTTTTTGGAAATCTTATTTGGAGTAATTCTAACCACGGCATGTATTACACACGAAAAACGCAGAAAACAATCTCTACAAACTTCCAGAAGCCGTTTTCAGTTTACTTTAAATCAGAGAGTTGTTCAGGAGACCCTTCTCTATCATTTTATATAAAATTTGGCGAGAAAAAATATTTTCAGTCAATAGTGGATCTAAAATTAATGATGCTGTTTTTAAACATTTGTTTTTCATTAAAATTATAAATGTAATCAAGTTAAAGGCTTAATTAGTAATGGCATGAAGAAAAAGTTGAGATAGTCATATACACCAGTGTCTGTTCTACAAAATGCACTACTTATTTTTAAAAATAATCGTCTACAAAGGCTGGATGTCTGGCTATGAATGTAATCGGTCACTCTATATTATTTGGCGAAACAATAATATTTCAAGTGACAATATGATGTACTTCGATTATTCACATACATCCATGAAGAAACTTGAAACTTGAAGGTTTATTTTATGCCTAAGAAAACATTTTGTAACAGAGAAAAGCACAAAAAGACGAAAAGCTTGTAAATACAGTGCCACCACGCGGAAAAGAGAACAACCACGAGAAGAGAGTATAGAAGAAAAAAATCAACACATTTATATGGATAGGTGAGCGTGTAATGCTCGTTTAGAAAAGTAATTGCTTGTTGCTAATGGTTTTATAAAAGGAGGATCGAAAATAGACAGAGGTGAGAGATTTTTTGAAAAGATAATTTTGAAAAAATGTAATAACCGAAAATATTTCCTCCGTGTAGATAAAACTGGCAGCTTCTTGATCTAAACCTTCTTTATACCATTTACTATCGTAAACTACACTAGCATAATCTAGCCTACTCAAAATACATGCTTAAAAATGGCTAAACAGATCTTTATCGGAGACTCCCGGAACGTTCTAAACATTGCACCTAATCGTCTTCTACATCCAAGGATTACGTCTTTAACCTCCCAAGCAAAAACGACCCAATTTTTTGGGTTATTTATCTAGATGAACGTGAAGTTGAATCTAGATAAAATAACCAAAAAATTGGGTCGTTTTTTGCTTGGGCTGCTCGCCCCGCGACAGATTAGACGTTAATTTTACTCCCAAAAGTACTACTGATTTTCCCCGTTTATAATAGAGTTATTACTAGAAAAAGTCAGATGATCCGCAACAGACTGGTTGTACTGTATGAAGTAAATCCACGCGCATTTAGAATAGTTTAGGATATGAGATTCAGTTGGCACCACTCCTCAATTTTATCAATGAAAGTCTGACACTCCATTACTGAACCTACGATATTCGTAGGACATAATAGCGAGCAGTCGTCCGAACAGAACGGATATAAATGACAGTGAAGTCACCATCGGCAGATCGTTTATAAAAATTAAGAACTACAGAGGCCCAAAATGGAGTCCTGCGGAACTTCAGATGGCACTCCTACCGTTCTTGAAAACGAGGAGCCTATCCGAACTAGGGTTTTTATTTTAGTGTAAATTTAGAAATAAATGTAAATGAATCATTTATACTTACAAAATAAAGACAAATTCGTCAATTATATTTAAAAAATAAATATAAATAAATGAAAACAAAATTTATCGTTATTTTATAAAAGTAAATGATTCATTTATATTTATTTCTTTATTTAAAGGTAGAAATAAAGAAATAAATATAAATGAATCATTTACTTTTATAAAATAACGATAAATTTTGTTTTCATTTATTTATATTTATTTTTTAAATATAATTGACGAATTTGTCTTTATTTTGTAGGTATAAATGATTCATTTACATTTATCCATTATTATAAATGAACAATAAAATTAAGTAACACCAGTAATCCGAACCGTTTGATGACAATCTGTTAAATTGCTCTCGAACCATTTATATAGAGCTCCTTTTACGCCCAACCAAGATAATTTCGAGAGCAGCATCTGATGAGGCATCAGGTCGAAAGCGTTTTCAAAATCGAACAAAACCATGATGGAATTGGTTCCTGTATCGAGATTTGTGAAGGTGTTTTGTGTCAAGTAAATAAGAGCGTCCATCAAGAAACTATTTTTGCCAAATTCGAAGAGATAAACCCAACCAACCCTGCGATAAATGGATCGACGGGTTCTTGGAAAATGCCACTTCGGGGGATCGATTTAGCTTTCCAAGGGATTGAAAATATTTTTCGATCCTCATCGGCGCATCCTATCAGTGATTACTCAAAGTTTATCGGAAGTATTGAAAAACCTTTTCATGGAAAGGAGAGGTAGAGTCACCACATAGATTCATGAAGACATCAAGCATCGTCAACATGCTATGTCCTAAAAATGAAAAACTCTCGCAGATTACTCCTTAATTTCCTTTCCGTTCTGCACGGATCGTGCAGTAAAAAGACACTTCGTGCAGTATTCCAGAAAAAAATCGTGCAGAAAACAATCTTCGTTTGGAAAAACTACCGCTTTGGACAAACGTTTTTAGTAATTGTGACTGGCAAGAATTATGTCGTAGAATTTCAGACATCAGACCAGAGTTCTATCGCGAAAAGCATCCAGATAAATATTATGACATACAGACGACGCATGCTCAATTCTATATTTTCATTCATGCATCACTCAAAGCCAG